TAGCTGATTTCTAATTTCATTCCACTGTGATCTGAGAAGATGCTTTATATGATTTCAGTCTTCTTGAACATGTAGAGACTTGTTTTGGGTCCTAACATGTGATCTATCTTTGTGAATGACCCATGTGTATGTACTTCAGAAGAATGTGTATTCTGCAGCTTTGGGGTGAATTGTTCTATAAATGTCAGTTAAATCCATCTGATCCAGTGTGTCCTTTAGAGTCACTGTTTCCGTGTTAATTTTTTGTCTGGAAGATCTATCCAGTGAAGTCATCTACTTTACTGGAAGTTAAAATCCCCTACTATGACTGTATTGTTATTGATCTTTTCCTTAAAATCCTCTACAAGTTTTTAAAAATATTTAGGTGCTCCTATATTGGGTGCATATATATTTACCAGGGTTATATTATATTCTCTTATTGGATCGATCCCTTTAGTATTATGTAGTGACCTGATATGTGTGTTGCTACCCCAGCTTTTTTCTCTTTTTCATTTTCATTGAAAAAAATTTTCCAGCCCTTCACTCTCATCCTGTGTGAATCTTTTGTCCTGAGGTGGGTCTCTTGTAGACAGTATATAGTTGGGTTATGTTTTTGTATCCATTCAGCTACCCTATGCCTTTTGATTGGATCATTTAATCCATTTACATTTATGGTTATTATTGTTGATAGGTTATTTATTGCCATTTTAATTCTGTATGCCTAGGTTTCTGTCTCTATTTTTTCTTCTCATTCAGCAGTCCCTTTAGTATTTCTTGTTATGCTGCTTTAGTAGTGATGAACTCCTTTAGACTTTTCTTGTCTAGAAAGCTCTTTATTTCACCATCTATTTTGAATTATAGTCTTCCTGGATATAGTAATCTTGGTTTTCAAATCATTGCTTTCTATTACCTTGAATACTTCATGCCATTCCTTTCTGGCGTGTACAGTTTCTGATGACAAATCAGATGACAGCCTTATGGGAGCTCCTTTTTAGGTAACAGTTTCCTTTTCTCTTGCTACATTTAAGATTCTCTCTTTGTGTGTAATTTTTGAGATTTTTAATTATGATGTGTTTGAAATTTAGGGCTTTATTTACCTTTTTTAAAATTTTGGTACTTCTTGCTTGGGACTCTATGTGTCTCCTGAACTTGTGTGACCTTTCCTTCACCAGGTTGGTGAAGTTTTCTGCCATTATTTCTTCAAACAGGTTTTCTATCCCTTCTTCCCTTTCTACCTCTTCTGGCACACCTGCTATGTAAATATTGCTACTTTTCATGTTGTACCATATCTCCTTTAAGGTGTCCTCCTGTTTTTGTTGTTGTTTTGTTTGTGTGGTTTTTGATTGATTTTTTTCTACTCTGTCTTCTAATTCACTGATCCTATCCTCAGCTTTCCCTTATCTGCTGTGTATTCCTTCTAACGTGTTCTTTATTTGTGCTATGTCATCCTTTACTTCTGTCTTTATAGTTACCATATCTTTTCTCAAGCTGTTGAGCATCTTTACCATCATTATTCTGAACTCTCAGATAAATTCCTTATCTCTATTTCATTTATCTCTTCCTCTGGAGAAATCTCTTGTTCTTTCATTTTGGGGTTGTTTCTTTGTCTCCTCATTTTGACTGCCTGTTTGAGTTTGTGACTACGTATTAGGTAGATTTGCCACACTTCTCAATCTCTAGTGAAGGACAGTGTCAACCGCTGTTTCTGACTAATTAGATCAGGCAAAGACTCAAAGCATCCAGAGACTGCCTCTCCTTGCAGACTGATTGGATTTAGTCTTGGATAGCCCTCAGGTAATTTTCCACAGGCTGGTGAGAATTTTTCCAATGTGGGGGACGGGGGGCAATTGCTTCTGCCTGAAGGCTAATTGTTATTCTCAGTCTCTTAATGGGCCTCAGAAACTCCACACCATGGGGCAAGGTGTTTTCCAATAGGGTGGTTCAATTATCTTACCTCTATACAAAACCGCCTAGATAGCAATTGCCTGTGTGAGAAAGATGACCTATGCAGCATAAGGGAATAACTCAGCACAGGAAACCGGGGTGTCTGCCTTCTGAGCTCTAACCCCAGGGCCCCCAACCCTGGCTTCTGCTTGCACAGCTCTAGTCCACTCTGCCAGCCTTCTGCCAGAGCACAAGGTGAGTGCTGCACACAAAGTTTTTTGTGTTGGCCTTTTAAGAGAGTCCCTGAATTTCTAGCCATCTCTCCCTGGCAGACAGTAACCCTGCTGCTTTTCACAGCAGACATTATGTGGGTACCCTTCCCAGTTCTGGTGCTTTCTGCTGGGGGGCCCAGCTTGGAGATTAGACTCCAGAATTCTCAATGAGAATCCCCCACAGCTGAGATATCTCTCCAAAACTTCAGTTGCAGTCTGTGATAATCAAGCCAGCCCTTTCTCGCCTCTGCCCCTCCTACCAGTCTCTATGCAGTCTCCACTTTCCGTCCTCGGTTATCAGGGTTCTCTCCAGAGAGTCTTCATTTGATTATTCAGGAAGTTTTTCTGTATTTAATTGTAATTCCAATTTGGTCCTGGGAGCATGGCCATGCAGCATCCACTTACTCCTCCACCATTTTTAATCTCTGCTGTCAGAACTCTTAAGAATCAAGTTGGGGAGAGAAGGCTGAGTGTCTTCATATAATGTGTAATTTTTCATTTAATTCTTCTGCTTTTGGTATTTACCCTTAATCATGCCTGATAATCCCCTGTCCAAAGACATTTTATTTTGTGTTCTTGAATTAAAATTCAATCTTCTTTCAGGGATGGAGGGAAATAGTGTCCTGGGTGCTTGGTGTAGGAGAGATCCAAGGGTCTTAATGTGTAAATTAGCTTTTTGTCAGTCCTTTTTCCTCAGCTCTACCTCTACTCCCACTTCCAGAGGAAGATTAAATATTATTACTTTCTATGCCTTTGAGAGGTTCTGTCATGTGCTGTAAAAGGGGCTGCTTCTCTGATTTCCTCACTGACAGCTGGACTTCAGCTTTCTTTGGTCTGTTTTATGAGTTACCACTTGTTTGTTTGTTTTCCAGTTTATCCTTCATCTTTGTCCTTGTGATTTATGGCTTTATTTACCCACTAGAGGCCCAGCGCACGAAATCATGCATGGGTAGGGTCCCTAGGCCTAGCCTGCGATCAGGGTCATCTTCCACCTGCTCGCCAGTCCCCAGTCTCGCCCTGCCGCCTCCACCCACCTGTTCTCCGTTGGTTGGGCGATCAATCTGAGCCTGCAGGCCGGGGGGAGGGACCAAGAGGTCTGCCTTCCTCCCGCTTGCCAGTCCCCAGTCTCGCCCCACCACCACCCACCCTGGTTCCTCGTGGTTGCCCGTTGGCCATCCAGCGATCGGAGCCTGCAGGAGCAGGGGAGGGACCGAGAGGTGGTCAATGCACCTCATAGCGATTGGTCGATCAGTTCCGGTCGTTCCACCGTTACAGTCGCTGGCCTTTTATTATATAGGATTTTTTAAAAATTACAGAATAACATAAACACATATAGTACACTGATCTTAAATTTATAGCCTAATGATTTTTTATATATGCAATCATCTCTCAGATCAAGATAAAGAGCATTTCCATATATAATAAGGTCCTCTATATACTTTCCAAATCTGTATCTACCACCTATAACAGTGATGGCGAACCTATGACACGCGTGTCAGAGGTGACAAGCGAACTCATTTTTTTGGTTGATTTTTCTTTGTTAAATGGCATTTAAATATATAAAATAAATATCAAAAATATAAATCTTTGTTTTACTATGGTTGCAAATATCAAAAAATTTCTATATGTGACACGGCACCAGAGTTAAGTTAGGGTTTTTCAAAATGCTGACACGCCGAGCTCAAAAGGTTCGCCATCACTGACCTATAAGCATTACTTTTATTTCTATCACCATATACTAGTTTTGCCTATTTTTCAACTTTACAGAATCATTCATATATTATGTTGTCTCAATGTGAAATCTTTTTTATCTGGCTTCTTTTGCTCCAAGAATTGGTGAGATTCGTCTTGTTTATTTTTTAGTTCCTATGTACTATAGCATTATATAAATATACCACTATATTTATCCCTTCTTCTGTGAGTGGGCATTTGAGTTGTTTCAAGTTTTTGGCTTTTGTGAATAAAGCCGCTATGAATATCATTGTACATGTTTTGGGTGTGTGTATTTATTCATTTCTTTTGGTTATATACCGATGAGGGGGGATTGCTGGATTGTAGAGTAAATATTTAGTTTTAATAGAAATTGCCAATTTTCCAAAGTGTCTGCACCATTTTTTACTTACATCAGCAAAGTATGAGAGTTCTGGTTGCTGTCTTCTCTAACGCTAGTCCGTCTTTTCAACTTAGCCAGCTGTGATAAGTGTGTAGTCATACTGCTGTGGATTTTGTTTCATTTCCCTGAGGGAATAATATGTTGAATTACCTTTTCACATGCCATTTAAATATGTTCTTTTATGAAGTACCTATTCATGCCTTTTTCTCATTAAAAAGAATGGTTATGTTATGCCTTTTTAATAATCCTGTTAGAGTGATTTTAATGGACTTTTGGGAGATAGCAGGGTTTAATTGCTTTTGAGTACCCTGCCACCTTTAAATGGAAGTGAGGTAACTTTAAAGCTTCATCCAGGTATTTTTTTTCTCATTTTTGTCATCTCCAATGTATGATTCAACCTTATTTTTAATTAGCTGGGCATAGTCTGTATTTATATTGTAATGAATTTTAGAATGACGCTCTTTGGTTCCAATATTAAATATATGAGATAGGAAATTTTATGTTTTATAAGAAACTGGAACAAGAAAATTATTCAGTAATTTTAGTCTGCCTTATTCTTTTCTATTTTTAATTAAAATGATATTTAGGACCAAGAGCATTGTTTATTTATCCATTAAACACATATTGAGTGCTTTCTCTATGTCAGATCTAGTAGGCTTAGGGAATACAATAGTGAACAGGACAGCAAAGCTCCTGTCCTCTTGAAATATATTCAGGTAGGAGAAGTTCATTGTAAGTAAGTAAACAAGTACCAAAGATAATTAAAGATAATTTCCTGTTTTACAGAAATGGAGCAAGAGGCACAAAATGGAGAACCTGCTGAAATTAAGATAATCAAGGAAGCATACAAAAAAGCCTTTTTATTTGTTAATAAAGGACTGAGTACAGATGAATTAGGTCAGAAGGAAGAAGCAAAGAACTACTATAAGCAAGGAATAGGACACCTGCTCAGAGGAATCAGCATTTCATCAACAGACCCTGAGCACACAGGTCCTGGGTGGGAATCTGCTAGGCAGATGCAACAGAAAATGAAAGAAACACTACAGAATGTACGTACCAGGTTGGAAATTCTAGAGAAGGGCCTTGCCACTTCTCTACGGAATGATCTTCAGGAGGTGCCCAAGTTATATCCAGAATTTCCACCTAAACACACATCTGAAAAGTCACTGGCACCTCAGTCCTTTAGTTCACCTCCTCAGCCCACTGAGGTAAATGGAAACACTTCAGCTACCAGTACAGGGTCAGTTCCTGCACCTAGTTCTCTATCCTTACCATCTCAAAGTCATCCAGCAGAAGCACCTCCTGCTTATACTCCTCAAGCTGCTGAGGGTCACTATACTGTATCATATGGGACAGAATCTGGGGAATTTTCATCAGTTGGAGAAGACTTCTACAGAAATCATTCTCAGCCACCTCCTCTTGAGACCTTAGGGCTTGATGCAGATGAGTTGATTTTGATACCAAATGGAGTACAGATTTTTTTTGTAAATCCTGCAGGGGAGGTTAGTGCACCTTCATATCCTGGATATCTTCGAATTGTGAGATTCTTGGATAATTCTCTTGATACAGTTCTAAACCGTCCTCCTGGGTTTCTTCAGGTAAGCCAAAGAAAAATTAAGCCAAAGAAAAATGTAAACATAATTTGAAATATGTGTAAAGTACATCATTTTTGTTTGTTAATATTTATAATGTATCTAAGACAATAAGTGCAAAAAGATTATAAGTTCTAGTTCCTTTTAAATATATTTATGAAAAATTTGAACTTTGAATGATAGCCTTTTTCTTTTTTTTATTTTAACAAAGTTTTATTTTAGTATTAAATTTGTAATGACAGGTATTTAATTCTTTATCTGAAGAAGAAATCTAATAACTTTAATTTCAAAAGAAATTTATGTAACATATGGATGTATAATAGTAAATTTTCACTAATGAGGCCAAGCTCTGGCTGAGGGGCTGAGCTGGGCTGAACCCCTGCCCATTTTCTAGAGCAGTGGATCTCAACCAGGGGTGATCTCCCCTCCCCCTTTCCCGGGATATTTTGACAATGTCTGTAAATAATTTTCATTGTCACAACTGAAAAGGGGGGAGTATGTTGCTGCTACTGGCATATAATGGGTAGAGGCTAGGGGTACTACTACACATTTAAACAGAGTATCTCCCATCAATAAAAAAATTATCCAACCCAAAACATAAGTCATGCCAAGGTTGAGAAACCTGATCTAGAAGAAGAGACTGATGATAATTTAGGATATAATTCTAACATTCCAAGCAGATCTATTTACCAGGATACTCTTGGTCCAAGAGCAAAGACAGGTGCTATTGTTAGGGCTTATCAATCCATAATAATCTACCCTGAGAAAAGTCTGTAACATTTTATTTGAGGAGATTTGGAAATGCTCAAGTTTAATCAAGGTGATGAGAATGTAGTTAATATTAGAGGAATCATGGCATAGTAAAAAACCTTTCCCAAACTTTCAAACTTTAGTCATTTAAGTATAACCTTTACTGTTTTATTGGTCAAATCCACATCTCTGCTTTATTTTGATATTTTTATTTGGATGTCTCATTTGTTAATTTTGTCCTAAACAATAACAACTATGAAATTGAGGGAAAGGTGTTGTATTTTTTTCCTAATACATATTAAGATGCATAACGACTCAAATTTAAATAATTTGTGTATTACTTGAAGTTGTTTCATATACCTCAGATGGTTATATATCATACTTTGGAAAAATCAGTTTTATTGTAACGTGCCTGAAGTTTAACTTTTATAAAAGATGGACAGTGACTTTGAGGAAACTAAAAAAAAAAAGAGATTCCTTAAAAGAAAAAGAATTTGCCCAGCTGGTGTGGCTCAGTGCTTGAGCATCAACACATGAAACAGGAGGTCATGGTTGGATTCCTGGTCAGGGCACATGCCCAGGTTGCAAGCTCGATCACCAGTAGGGGGCATGCAGGAGGCAGCCTATCAATGATTCTCTATCATCATTGATGTTTCTCTCCCTCTCCCTTCCTCTTTCTGAAATCAATAAAAACATACCTATATTATAAAAAGCCAGTGGCCGTAATGACCTAACGCCAGAACGACCAAACCACCGGTCACCAGGAGGTGCATTGATGGGTCCTGCGGCACCTGCGGGATGCTGGGTCTCGTGCGATTTCCCGCGCTGGGCCTGTAGTTTAAAAAAGAAAAGAAAAAGATTTTGAAAATGTTTATTAAGCACTTTCCAGGAAAGAGTCAGATCTGAGTACTCTGATCCCTGTTTGTTTATATTCTGTTTGTCAGAGATGGTGGTAGTGTGCTAGAATTTACTATCTGTTTATATGAAATCTTTTGTGTTCTTTGACTTATGTTCATCACACATAATAGATTATTCTAGCAAGTTTTTAAATATTAGAGCCATGTCCTGGGTGATGGGCACAGTTATATTCTGGTCACTCAAATAATGTATCTCAATGTAAATGAATAAATTTGGTTATTCCAATTTAAACTATCTGAAATTAGATCTCTAGGAAGTGAGCTTAAGTCTCAAATGTCAGTATACTGACAATCTGACCTCCCATATGACATTGCAGGGCAGCTTTGTGTCATTTTAATTTTACTTCACAATAGATAGTGTCAAATAAACATTGTTGGCCAACAGGAATCCCCAGAAGGAAATTTTATTCAGTTGAAGTAGCTCAGTTTTGACACAGCAAGGGCTGTGAAAACAGCAATGCTATTAGGTGGCCTGGAGCCAGGCCCCTCTCAAGCTAGACAGCTCTGCTCTGCCCTCTGCTGGTCTGCTCCACCTTTTAGTCTTTGGTGGAAAGCAAAAGCATTCCTGGAGTCAGAGGGTAGCCGACTTATATAGATCAAAGTTCCTGCCTCTGGTCGGGGATTGGTTTGTACTCAAGCAAACGATGACGATGACTCCAAATTCTTTAAGTTTGATTGGACCAGAAAATACTGTCCTGATTGGTCAGAATGGAGCCACTCTGATTGGTTGGTAAGGAAATTGAAGGGCTGTAGCTGCGCAGCTCCTGTTGGATGGGGAAAGCCTCAGTCCTACTGGTTGAAATAGAATTGGGGGGGGCGGGATGAGGACACATTTGTAATACCTTAACTAATAAAAAAAAAAAAAAGAAGAATTCCAGAAACTCCTTTATAAGGCCTGTCAGACTATGCCCGGAACACAGTACACGCAGGCAGTTTAATGCAAGAGGCAGGCTGCTTGGTGCAGGCTTCTCCCTGAATTGCAGTTTGCATGAGAGGCCTGTACAGAAATGGCTGCTTGGCTCTTTTTTTTTTGTTATTGTTTTTTTAAATTTGAGTCTAGTTAGCCACCAGGAGCCCTTTTTAGTAGGTATCTTCTTTCTCATGGTTCCCAGTAGTAAATCCAAGAAACATAACTCAGTGTTTTATTTAGTCTCTGTCATGTTAGGTTCTCTTAGAATGCTGGGTGTCTAATTAAAATAATTATTTCTAATTAACCAATACTAACCAACTTAATGGAATTGTTGTGAGGATTAAATCAATAAGTACATGTTGAGTACTTGAAAACAGTTTGATTTTATTTATTTCTACAAAGGAATGTCTAATTTACATGATAAAGAAAACATTAATTTACTTTGACCATTATTTATTTAAAGTTAGACTCATGATTGGTTAACAGTGGGCTATTTAAAGCCACCAGTTTTAAGATTGTATAAAGAGTGGAGCAGTAACATTTTTAGTGTAGTTCTTGTGAATAGTTTGCCAGAAGATCAGACTAATAAATGGCTAATTTTTATTGGGGACTTGTTGATGCTGATGGTTCTATAAAGATGCATTTCAAACTTTGAAATGTTTGTTTTCCGGTATAACAATTTTAAAACCTTGGTGAAAACCTAGTTCTGTTCATTGATTTTTTTCTTTTTAACTAATCCTTTCAGGTTTGTGATTGGTTGTACCCTCTAGTTCCTGATAGATCTCCAGTTCTTAAATGTACTGTAGGAGCCTACATGTTTCCTGATACAATGTTACAAGCGTCAGGATGCTTTGTGGGGGTCGTCTTGTCTTCTGAATTACCAGAAGATGATAGAGAACTCTTTGAAGATCTGTTAAGACAAATGTCTGACCTTCGGCTCCAGGTAACTTGTATGATTGTCTTCAGGATGAAAATCTACTTTAACATAAGCATAGGCAATTTTACTCTAGAGTTCACAATCTTAGTCACTATTTACAGCAAATTCCAAACTTGTATTTGTGAACACACAAGCAAATTAGTATATAATACATTAGAAGGAGTTAAAGAGCTATGGAAAAAAATGGAGAGTAGGGTAACAGGAAACAGGAGTTCTGGTGTGGGTGGGACGGGTGCAACTGTAAATAGGGTGATCAGAGGGGGCCTCATGGAGAAGGTAATGTTCAAACAAAGACTTGAAGGTGACCTTTTGATTCAGTGATGGTGTATGAACTCATGCTAAAAGATTGCTATGAGACTTACTCTATGTGAGGTTGGCTGAGAGGCCATCTATAAAGGCAAACAATGATCTTAAAATTCACTTGACTTGGCTTGCATCTTAGATCACAAGGTGGCATGAAGCCACACACTGAATTTTACATCCTGCTGTCTTGCAGCAATTAATCAAGATTTTAGAGTCCATATCAATTATCCATTCATTCATTTATCAAATATGTATTGTCCACTATGTTGTGGGCCCTGTGCTGGGTACCTAGGATGCAGAGCTCAGTCAGCTTGGGGTCATATCTATTGCTTAAGATGCTTGCGATTCAGCCAAAGGTGCATGTGTGTGAAATGATAATCCCGAAACAATCTACTAAGGGCAAGATAAAGTTATGCATCTGGGTAATGAGAATTTAGAGGGCATCAACCCAGGTGTGGGGTCACAGAAGGTTGCCTGACAAAGAATGGGCAGACCTTCAGTGATGACAGCCTACCTCCCTCCTATCAAAATCACTGGCTGGCCCTACCTGGTTAAGCTCAGTGGTTAGAGTGTTGGCTAGCAGACTGAAGGGTTGTGGATTTGATTCTGGTTAAGGGCATATACCTCAGTTTCAGGCTCAATCCCCAGCCCCAGTTGGGGCACGTGCAGGAGGCAACCAATCTATGTGTCTCTCTCACATCAATGTTTCTCTTTCTGTCTCTCTCCCTCCTTCCCACACTCTCTAAAAATCAATGGAAAAAATAACCTTGGATAAGGATTGACAAAGAAAAAAAATACCAAAAATACAACCGTGGGTGAGGTTTGACCAAAAAATACAAACCACTGGCTGAGTAATTGCCCTCTGTAACTCTGAAATCCTTTATAAATATCAGGGGGAAAATGATTGTTTTCCAAATTGTTTCTGTTTTTGTTTGATTATTTTGTTTTTTAGATCCCTCATGTAAGTGAAGTGATATGGTATTTGTCTTTATCTGTTTGACTTATTTCACTTAGCATAATAACCTCTACGGCCATGTTGTCACAAATGGTAAGATTTCATTTTTATGTTACAGTAATATTCCATTGTATATATGAACCACCTCTTCACTATCCATTCATCTTTTGATTGGAGCATCTAATCCATTTATATTTACAGTAATTATTGGTAGGTATGTAGTTATTGCCATTTGATTGTTTTTGTAGTTCTCTATTCCTTTCTTATTCTCTTGCTCTCTTCTCTTGTATGTTGATGATTTTTCTGTAGTGTTATGCTTGGATTTTTTCTCTTTATTTCTTGTATATCTCTTACAGATTTTTGGTTTGTGGTTACCATGTCCTTCATATATACCAAGCTATGTTTATAGCAGTGTATTTTAAGTTGAAGGTCACTTAAGTTCAAACACATTTTAAAGTCACTATCATTTTTATTCAGCCCCTCTATGTTTATGTTTTCATCATTATTTTTTACGTCTTTTGTGTGTGTCTATGTGCTTGTATATGTCCCTTAATTTACTATTATAATTACATATGATCTTCCTACATTTGCCTTTAGTTTTAGTTGATCCACTGCTTTTATAATGTGTTTGCCTTTGTCAATGAGAATTTTTTTCTTTGTGATATCTTCTTATTCATATTTTAAATTTTTTCTTTTTTAAAAATATATTTTTATTGATTTTCAGAGAGTAAGGGAGAAGGAGAGAGAGATAGAAACATCAATGATGAGAGAGAATCATTGATCGGCTGCCTCCTTCACACCCCCTACTGGGGATCGAGCCCACAACCCAGGGATGTGCCCTTGACCAGAATCAAACCTGGGACCCTTCAGTCGCAGGCTGACGTTCTATCCACTGAGCCAAACCAGCTAGGTCTTTTCTTCTTAAAGAAGACTTTTAACATTTCTTATAATACTGGTTTGGTGGTGATAAACTTCTTCAGCTTTTTCTTGTCTGGGAAACTCTTTATCTCTCTTTTGATTCTAAATGATAGTCTTGCTGGGTAGAGGAGTCTTGGTTGTAGATCCTTGCTTTTCATCACTTTGAATATTTTATGCCAGTCCCTCTAGCCTGCAGAATTTCTGTTGAGAATCAGCTGATAGTGACTTATGGGAGCTCCTTTGTATGTAATTAATGGCTTTTCTCCTCTTGCTTTTAGGATTCTCTGTCTTTATGCCATTTTAATTATGTTGTGTCTTGGTGTTGGCCTCTTTGGGTTCATCTTACATGGGATTCTCTGTGCTTCCTGGGCTTGTATGTCTGTTTCCTTCATCAAGTTAGGGAAGTGTTCTGTCATTATTTCTTCAAATAGGTTCTTATTCTCTTGCTATCTCTCTTCTCTTTCCATTCCCCATATGATGCAAATGTTGTTACACTTGATATTGTCCCAGAGGTCCCTTAAACTATCCTCATTATTTTGGATTTATTTTTTCTATTTGCTGTTCTGATTAGGTATTTTTTATTACCTTGTCATCCAAATCACTGATTTTTGATTCTCTGCTTCAGCTAATCTAACTGTTGATTCCATCTAATAAATTCTTTATTTCTGACTGATTCTGTTTTATGACTTCTGTTTCCTTTTTTATGTTTCCTGTCTTGCTGAGATTCTTACTAAGATCATCAATTCTTCTCTTAATTCATTGAGCATCTTTATAACCAGTTTTGAACTCTGCTTGCCTTCATTTTTTTTGACAATTCTTTCTTTTTTATTTTTAAAAAATCTTTATTGTTGAGAGCATTACAGATGTCCCTCTTTTTCCCCCCACTCCCCCCCTCCACCCAGTTCCCGCACCACACCAGGCCTTCACCACTCTATTGTCTGTGTCCATAGGTAATGCATATATAGATATAAGTTCTTTGGTTAATCTCTTCCGGCTCCCCCAACCCCTCTTCCCTCTAAGATTCCTCAGTCGGTTCCATGTTTCCATGTTTCTGATTCTATTTTATTCACCAGTTTATTTTGTTCATTAGATTTCTTGTTCACTTATTTGAATTTTTAGATTCAGTTGTTGATAGATATGTATTTATTGCCATTTTATTGTT